CTCCATTTTATGGCTCAGGAAACTAATGCTCAGAGCAGTAAATAGCAAGCACAAAGTTGCAAGCTAGTTAATAAATCCTCACAGTTAAACACGCGGCTAGGGACCGGCCCGGTGGCATATCGGTTAAGTTCACCCGGTCCGCTTCAGCAGCCCGGGGTTCATGAGTTCGATCCCGGGCGCCAACCGAGGCACTGCTTGTCAAGCCATGCTGTGGCGACGTCCCATATAAAGTAGAGGAAGTTGGGCACAGATGTTAGCCCAGGGCTCATCTTCCTCACAAAAAAAACAAAAACAAACAAATAAATAAATAAAATAAACACGAGGCTGTTCTGCCTCTGATAATAAAAATTAGGATATACCAAGACCAGAAGAATTAACTGTAGAAGAAAACAGTATAACAGGAAATCTTTCATTGTGAGCAAATGCTATTTTAATAGTCTTATCTGTCTTAAATGTCTTCTGTGTACCTAAAGAACTGTTTGCTTATATGATACTGAACTGGGATAGAGTATAACGTTTTTTGCTTTTGTTTTTTTTTTTTTTTTTTTGTCTTTTGAGATTAAGAGTAGAAAGATTTCATGATTATCCAAAATATGTTTGCTGAAATAGAGACAGACTAAATACTATATACTATTTACCTTCTTATAATCCCTCTGACTGAATTTTGGCACATATTCTTTCCAAATTTTACAGAGTAGTGAATAATGAGTTTGATTCCTCTTATATTTATAGTGGACCATAGCAAAATATGCTCCCAGGTTTAATGGGTTCCAGCAACAAGACTCCCAAGAACTTCTGGCTTTTCTCTTGGATGGTCTTCATGAAGATCTCAACCGAGTTCATGAGAAGCCATATGTGGAATTGAAGGACAGTGATGGCCGACCAGACTGGGAAGTAGCTGCAGAGGTTTGTCGGTTTTGAGCTTCTAAGTAAGCAATAGATAAAATGTTCTGGCCATAAATGTGTTGCACAACTTAATGCTAACTAAACTATTCTGTGATCAGATTTTTACTGTGAAAATAAAGGAATTTATATTTTTCTGCTTAATTCTTGTGCAGTAATGCCAAAACAAAGCACCTTTAATGAAAATAGAAAAATGCCTTTTCACATTGTAAGCTTGTGAGAGAGGACGTAGGAATAATTATTCAGTAGAACTTCAGGAGTCCCTATAAATGCTGAAGTAATGTGTACAGTGACAAATAGACGTGTTTTATCTGCTTTTTAATGGACAAAACTTTAATTCTCATCTGTGTTACCATGCTAAGAACAAAGAAAAAAATCAAATTTTCCATCTGAATTTAATATTTTATAGGTTGAGCAGAAAGAATCACGTTCTATTTCATAACTGGTTTTCTCTACTATCTCAGTAGGCAATACATTTTAAATTACATATCTGAATTGTAAATTTGTAGGCGGAAAGCTTTTATATCTTAAGTGAAGATTGAGGATTATATTCTTGCATTTAAATCCAATATATTTAACTAGTTTCTTTGAATTTGTTCAGAAATACTTATTTTTTGAATTTTGAAAAAAAAAATTCCCTAATGTTTTTCCTTGCTAGGCCTGGGACAACCATCTGAGAAGGAATAGGTCGATTGTTGTGGATTTGTTCCATGGGCAGCTACGGTCCCAAGTCAAATGCAAGACATGTGGACATATAAGTGTTCGATTTGACCCTTTCAATTTTTTGTCTTTGCCACTACCAATGGATAGTTATATGCACTTAGAAATAACAGGTAGGTCACGAAGTTCTGAAAAATCATTTAACTTCATTGTCTTTTATCTTATTCAAGCAGCCTGAATTTGTGAGTATAGTCATTTGTTTATAATGCATTCTGATAAAGATTGGTAGTCAGCATGTTATAATCGAACAATCTAATTTCAGGCATGATTTGAGGTTTGAAAGATGGAACATGGGTCCATTTTTGGTCCATTTTTGATTCTCTATTAGTCCAGACATGCCAGAAACTCTCTTTAAATTCTTGCAAAGCCACTCACACTTCTATACCAGGTGAACATCAAAAAATAATGATTTCATTTAATATTATCCTTAAGTACCATCTGTGTAGCGTTTACATATAAAATAAAAATTCTAAGCTGAAATGTTTGCTATTTCCAAGTCATACACACACACACAACACACATATATGGTGTAAAGCTTTCAAGGAAACCTGCATTTTACTGATAAAAGATCTTTTATCTTTACTAGTTATTAAGTTGGATGGTACTACCCCTGTAAGATATGGACTAAGACTGAATATGGATGAAAAGTACACAGGTTTAAAAAAACAGCTGAGTGATCTCTGTGGACTTAAATCAGAGCAAATCCTTCTTGCAGAAGTACATGGTTCCAACATAAAGGTAATATTAACTATTCTTTCTAGGAAACCTTTGATTCCATCTTTCAAGGGTCACAGTTTTCTCAATTATTATGTTGATTGACTGAGGGAGATATTAAAACAAAAAAAAACTAAACCAAAAAATTGTCAAGTTTTCCATCCCAGAAACTTAAAAGGATTGTCTAGCAGAATAAAGGAATAATGGTGATGGTCATATTTTTGAAGAGGGAAAATATGTAAGCCCAAGACTATCTATATGGAGTGATCTAGCTATGTCACTACCATATAGGTTTCCCACAGTGACTGCTGCTGCTGCTACACTTGACAGCTATTCTGTATTACCACTGTCACTAGAATTCTTCCTGGGTTAAAGTATTTTGTGCATTTATGAGTGTATGCTTTCGGTATTTACTTATGAATATAAATACCTGGCCTTTCAGCGCACTAAGAAGTTAAGAGAGTAAAGACAAATTAACACAAATCACTTCTTCCTGCATACCAGCTAGAGAAAGAGACATTGTAATAAATGTATTGCCTACCCTAAATTGAGCTCCTACCAGTAGTAGTATTTTTATTCATCTTTGGGGTTTCTGAGCAAACTCCTACCTCATTGACCTTTTTTTTCATATGTAATGCAAAGGTGAGATCTCTCTGAGAGTTTTCAATTTAGATACTTGAAATGAAGGGCAAAACGTAAGTCAACTATATACAATATACTTCCTTCGTATGTAAAGGGATAACAGTTTTGTCAGTAAGGTGAGTTTATCAAGCTTTCATCTTTTAGTTATTTGAGAAAAATTATTTAATCGTCTTGTTTGTGTTACTGATGAAAGCATCTAAGACATTCATTTCAAATATGTCAGAGAGATGATTTTTCGTTTTATCTGAAACATCTCCCCCTTCTCATCTTGCCTCTTTTTCTGTAGAATTTCCCTCAGGACAACCAAAAAGTACGACTCTCAGTGAGTGGATTTTTGTGTGCATTTGAAATTCCCATCCCTGGATCTCCAATTTCAGCTTCTAGTCCAATACAGACGGGTAAGATAGAACTAGAGCTCCTCTCATGATTTCAGCTTTAAATGTTGGTCTAAGCATTGTCGTCATCTTTATATTTGTATTAGAGCAAAAGAATTTTGGAGCCTGAAAGAAACCTTGGTGATCATTTGTCTCAACTTCCTTATTTTATAGATGAGAAACCTAAAATTCAGAGAACCTAAGTGACTAAGTTAGATAGATAGTTATTAGCTAAATCTACCACTGGAATTCAGATCTCTTTTAACTCTTTTATCTAATACTAAATGGCAACAGATGGTATGAGAAATATTTTGTATATTTGGAATATACAAAAAAATAAATATGACTAAAAAGGAATCTGTTTATCTAATATTGCATATAATTTAATATGGTCATTCAGTGAGTCTTTTTGGCCATTAATGTGGTTTGCCTGTTCTTCTCTATACTGCTGATAATTAGATTCATTCCTCAACTATAAAGGGCTTCAGAGAGAATGAGGCTCCTCTCAATGGCACTTAGTAGATAGTAGTGATGGTGGGTTGGTGGATGATTTAATATTACTCTTTTGTTTATTTTTTATTTATTTATTTAAAAAAATTTTTTTTGAGGAAGGTAGGCCCTGAGCTAACATCTGTTGCCAATCTCCCTCCTTTTTTCTCCCCAAAGCCCCAGTAGATAGTTGTATGTCATAGTTGTACATCCTTCTTTTTTTTTTTTTCCTTTTTTTGTGAGGAAGATCAGCCCTGAGCTAACATTTGTGCTAATCCTCCTCTTTTTCCTGAGGAAGACCAGCTCTGAGCTAACATCTGTTGCCAATCCTCCTCCTTTTTTTTTTCCCCAAAGCCCCAGTAGATAGTTGTATGTCATAGTTGCACATCCTTCTAGTTGCTGTATGTGGGACGCGGCCTCAGCATGGCCAGAGAAGCGGTGCATCAGTGCGCGCCCGGGATCCGAACCCAGGCCGCCGGTAGCGGAGCGCGCGCACTTAACCGCTAAGCCACGGGGCCAGCCCTGTACATCCTTCTAGTTGCTCTATGTGGGACGCTGCCTCAGCATGGCTTGATGAGCGGTGAGTAGGTCTGTGCCCAGGATCTAAACCAGCGAACCCCGGGCCACCACAGCAGAATGCACTAACTTAACCGCTGCGCCACTGGGCCGGCCCCTACTTTTTTGTTTAGATTATCACTGTCCAGTAGAATTCTCTGCAGTGATGCAAATCTTCTATAATCTTTGCCATACAATACAGAAATTAAAATCTTCCAATCAGTCTACAATTATTATTTGAACTATGATTTCTCCCTGTTCTTTGTTAAAAGAGACTATGCCATCAGTGGTCTGGGTCCCCATGATAATTGAGAAAAGAGCAAAGATGAAGGTACCACAAGCTTATGATGCTATACTTATCTTTGAATTTGTAGATTTCTCCTCTTCCCCATCTACGAATGGAATGTTCACCCTAACCACCAATGGGGACCTGTCCCGACCAATATTCATCCCCAATGGAATGCCAAACACTATTGTGCCATGTGGAACTGAGAAGAACTTCACAAATGGAATGGTGAATGGTCATATGCCATCTCTTCCTGACAATCCCTTTACAGGCTACATCATTGCAGTCCACCGAAAAATGGTTAGTTTAATGTTAGGCAAGTTACTGCTGGTCTTGCCAGTGTCATTTGTGAAACATAGCCATTTTCTGTCTTTGCATCATCTTCATTGCATGCACTTTCAGTGTGTTACGTATGCTATTGCACGTGATCGGGGCCAGGATTTAGTATACACGTGATGGCCTATATATGAAATGACATTCGTCACTCATAATTAAGAAGCAGCAGGATAGCTGGTGCATCTGAATGCTACTTTCTTTGAAAAGTTTGTGTCTCCTATATGTTCTTGTAAGCATATTCATCTTCTTCTCTGCCATATAAGTGTGGATGCCTTTGGGGAAGGTTTTGTTTGTTTATTGGGGGGAGGGGGACGACAAGAATGTTCTTTGGCAAGACAAGTTGTGCATAATTCCTCCTTTGGTAGACTAATATATAGCTATTGCATTAAAGGCTGACTCTGATTAAAAAACGAAGATTTGAAAACTCTGATCAGTGGATAATTGTTAAAGAGGTAATCATTGTATATGCTGGCAGCTTGGTGGAGTAGAAAGAGCACTGAACTAGGAACTCAGTGATGTATGATTTAGTTCTAATTCTGCCACTAGAAAGCCGATTGAGCTCTTTGGGCCTCAGTGTCCTAATTTTATAAAATGAGAAATAGGACTGCTAGATAATTTCTAAGATCCATTAGTTACCTTTACTTCTGTTCAAAAATTCCCTCTAGTCTTCTGATTTCCAAGGGATAACAGGTTATAACTTTCATTTATGATTAAAGCACAAATAAACATCAGAATCTGACCAAACTAGTTCACCCTGACATCATAGAAGACACCAAGCTTGGCTCTCTCATCACTTTTTCCTCTCAGATTTTCTTTATTTTTCTCTTCAGTCTTTGTCTCCTGTTTTCTTATCTCATTTTCTTTGTAGATTTTTCTGGTTTCCTTTTTATTATTTTTTTATTCCCATCATATTTGTTATATTTATTGCATAAAGCGTAGTGTTTTCTACTCATTTAAAAAAGCAAGTGAACTGAGTTTTGTAAGGATGCTAGATACAAGGTCAATACAAAAAAGTCAAGTACATTAATTATATAACAGCAACAAGAGAAAATGAAGTTGTTAAAAAAAAAGCACGGTATTAGTTTCTTGGGACTGCTGTAACCAATTACCACTAACTTGGTGGCTTAAAACAACAGTAATTTATTCTTGCACAGTTCTGGAGGCCAGAAGTCCGAAATCAAGGCATCACCAGGGCCGTGCTCCCTCCAAAGGCTTTAGGGGATAATCTTTCCTTGTCTTTTCCGACTTCCACAGGCATTACTTAGCTTGTAGTTGCATAACTCCAATCTCTGCCTCTGTTTTCACATGGCCTTCTTCTGCTTCTCCCTCTGCCTTTCACTGATAACACTTGTCATTGGATTTAGGGGCCATCCAGATAATCTAGGATGATCTCACCTCGATATCCTCAACATAATTACATCTGCAAAAAACATTTTGCCAAATGAGGTTATATTCCCAAGTTCTTAGGGTTAGGATGTGGACATATCTTTTGGGGGGCCACTATTCAATCCACTATAGATATCATTTGTCATAGTATCAAAAAAATTAAGTACCTAGAAATAAACGTTATAAAAAATATACAAGGCATCTACATAGAAAACAATAAAATATTATTGATAGAAATTAAAGAAGACTCAAATATAACTTTGTGTATGTATGCTTGTGTGTTATATAACTCAATAAGCTGATTCTAACATGTGGAAGTACAAAGCACAAAATATCCAAGACGGTCTTGAAGAAGAACAAAGCATGAGGAATTGAGCTACCAGATATGATTTACTTTATAAAGCTATGATATTTAAGACATTGTGACATAAAGATATTGGTGTGAGAAAAGACAAACAGACCAATGGAGTAGAATAGAGAGCCCAGGAACAGGTTCATCCGTGTATGAACATTTGATTTATAACAAAGATGGCCTTGCAGAGCAGTGAGAGGAAGACAATTTTCTTAGTAAATGGTGCTGGGATAATTGGATATCCATATGAAACTTGGCACCTACCTCTCATCATATAAAAGTCAATTCCAGGTGGACTGTAGAACTACATATGAAAGCAAAACAATAAAACAGCCGCTAGAAGATAATAATGGTGAAATATTCATGTCCTTGGTGTAGGGAAAGACTGCTTACATAGGACACGGAAAGCACTAACCATAAAGGAAAAGATCGATAAATTAGACATCATTAAAATTGAGAACTTTAGTTCCATCAAAAGGCACCATAGTAAGAAGGCAAGCCTTGGATTAGAAGATGTTTGCAATTAATATAACCAACAAAGGGGCTCAATCCAGAAAACATAAAGAACTCCTATCAGTCATTAAGGAAAAACAAACAATTCCATAAAAAAATTGTCAATATTTAAATAGGCACTTCACAAAAAGTCATATAGCCATAAGCATATGAAAAAGTGATCAGCTGAACTACTACTCAGGGAAATGCAAATTAAGACCACATTGTGATATCACTGCACACCCACCAAAATAGGTAAAATTAAACAGATTGAAAGTGTTAGTAAGGATAATGGAACAACAAGAACTCTCATACACTGCTGATAAGAGTGTAAATTAACAGCTACTTTGTAAAATAGTTTTCTAGTTAAAGATAAGCAGTTCCACTCCTAAGTGTCCACGCAGCAGATCATGTGCCAGGCAGTGTATACAAGAGGATTCATAGCAGCATTGTCTATAATAGCCCAAAGGTGAAAACACAAAATGAAACGTTAAATCCCCATTAGTAATAGAAAGGATAAGGAAGTTGATATATGTTCATACAATAGAATATTATACACTAATGAAAATGAATAGATTTATAGTTGTAACCAATATAAATGAATCTCATAAACATAATGTGGGAAAGAAGCAAGACACAAAAGAAATACAAATTATAGGATTCTGTTTATAAATAAAAACTTTTAAAACATGGAAAATGAAATTTACTGTTTATGCATAGGATATAAAACTATAAAGAAAAGCAAGAAAATGATTACCATAAAATTCAGAATAACTGTTACCTTTAGGAGGAAGGGAGAATTCATGGTTGGGAGGAAGCAAAAGAGAAGCTTTTGGAGTGCTGTCTGTATTCTGTTTCTTGACCTGGCTGGTGATTACATGGCTATTTGCTTTGTAATAATTCGTTGAAATGTACTTTTTTCTCCCCTTTAAATTAGTAACTCTTGACTCAAAGTGAGTTTCTGACCACGTGGATGATGTTCTGTGGATCATGTTCTAGGCAGGATTGTATGAGCAGACAGCCTAGAGAAGTAAGGGATATATTTGTGACTTGGAATTTTTTTTAAGCACAGCTCCAACTGGTCCCATCAGCTAAAATAATTGGGTGATTCATGCATTTCCCCATGTCTTTTTTTACCAAGCATTATCAGATCATATATTAAGAACTCCGATGTACTTTTTAAATCTTTCTTAGGAAACAGCTCTCTTCAGTTATCATGTATATGTTATATAAAGTGCTTGGTAAGTGCTAAAGCATTTGTACAGGTTTTTCTAATTATTGGACCATAAAGCCATATTAGCAGCTCTAAATTTTCACCTTTTAACCAGTCCTCTATTTCCAGTTTCCTTCATGATCTAGCCAGCTTTGGGGAATGCCTAAAATTGATTTTATCATCTGTCTGTCCCAAGTCAGCTCCCTTTTCACATTATTTTGGTGGAAGGCAACACCATTCTTTACGTGCTAAAGGCTACTAAAAGGTGGGAATGTTCTTAGATTTTTGTCTCTTTTCTTCTGAAACCCTATATTCAATATATCATTATGCTTTTAATTTTTTCTTTCAAAATACTATTTAAATTTACCGTTTCTTCATTTTTATTGCCACCTTCTTTCAGACCCTTTTGATCTCATGGTTGAATTACTTTGAAAGTAGTTTATTTTTCTTCTACTCCCTTCTGTAAGGTAGAAAAAGAAGAGCAATACGGCAAGGCAACATAGGCAAGGATGTTTAGAGAATAAAGGGAGAAATAGAAAAACAGTATATTGACACAACTAAAGGACAAGTCAATTTCAATAAATAAATAAATAAATAAATAAATAAATAAATAAATAAATAAATAAGAAGTAGTTACATGGACCAGAGAAGTTAAAAACACTGAAAACTGCAAAGTTTGGCAGTGTAACCAAGTAAAGAAATAGGGCAAGAATTTAGCATAGTCAGGTCAAGTTTTTTCAGATGAGAGAGAAAGTTGTTAGGAAAGGACAAAAGGAAAATTCCTGGTGCGGTGAAGCTGGGAGCATTTTCCTATGAGGAACTGAGCAGATATGGGCCCTAGGGCACTGGGAGAAGTTACCTTCAAGAGGATGAAAATTGTGTGGGTTTAGAAAAGATAGACTGAAAAGAGTAGAGGAAAGAGATCCTTGCTTAAATGATCTCATCTGCTGAGAGAGTGGAAGAAAGGTAGAAATTTAAGGAGAGGAGAACAAGTCTAAGTTGTTAGATTTTTAAAAAATAATTATTCTGAACTCTGTCCACGTTTCTGTGGGTCTTACAATAATACCAACACATGAAACGGAGTCTTAAAATCATGTATTTAACTAAGCTTAAAGGAACAATGGCAAAATAAAATGCTTGAGAATCTGAAATAAAAGAGTTTTTTCACTTAGAAACTAGCTAACCCTTAGTGAGTTTATAGTTATGGATTTAGCTTCTCTACTACATAAAGAATTAAACAAAGAATTAAATATCCAAGTGCTCAACAGCTTTTTGAGTAATCCTGAACTCCCACCAACCTTTATATTAATCTAAATTTTTGTTTTATTAAGCAAGCATTTCCAAGCTAATTCTGTGCACTATGTCTGTATTAAGGAATATCATAAAAATCTTCACATACTCAAAGCAAATATTTTTAAATTTTACCTTTTATTCTATCATGTATTTAAAAAATAAAACTAAAGTCACTCACCTTCTTTTAGGAAGGTGGGTAAGTTGTTACAAAATTAAATGACTGGATTTTTCACAAGTCTCCAAAAGTTTGGGAATTGCTGCTCTAACAACAGTTATCAACAGCTTATTCTTAGAAAATTGCATTTTGAGGGACTTTTGGTTTACTGGCATACTTTGTAGAGAAAGGGTTTTAATTGCTTAAAAGCCTTGAGCTATGAAACTGTTACTAGGGTTTTTTGTTTTTTGGCGAGGAAGTCTGGCCCTAAGCTAACATCTGTTGCCAATCTTCCTCTTTTTGCTTAAGGAAGATTGTCCCTGAGCCAACATCTGTGCCAGTCTTCCTCCATTTTTGTATGTGGGATGCTGCCACAGCATGGCTTGATGAGCAGTGTGTATGTCCGTGCTCGAGATCCAAACCTGTGAACCCCAGGCCGCTGAAGTGGAGTGCGCAAACTTAACCACTACGCCGGCCCCAAAACTATTAGTAGTTTTACATGCGATGCAGCGTGTGTGAGAAATGTTTATAAGAGAAAGCTAATTTGAAAATATTAAATGCTGAAAACCCAAGTTTGATAGATAGACAGCAACTCTGAAATTGGCAATTACCTCAACCTTTCAATGACTTCACTTTCAATAACCATTCTCTTTTTGTATTAATAAAGATGGTTCTATAAGTAAAGAGAGAAGAGTGGTAGTGACTAATTTGAAAATGGTGCTGACGCCTGTTACTGGCAGTTGTAGAAGAACAAAAGGGAGGAATTAGAGGCCTGTCTTCTCAGCTCTCTCTTCTCTTGTTTGTATAGATGAGGACAGAACTGTATTTCCTGTCATCTCAGAAGAATCGTCCCAGCCTCTTTGGAATGCCACTGATTGTTCCATGTACTGTGCATACCCGGAAAAAAGACCTATATGATGCCGTTTGGATTCAAGTATCTCGATTAGCCAGCCCACTCCCACCTCAGGAAGCTAGTAACCATGCTCAGGATTGGTGAGTTCAGGGGATCAGCCTAGACCTGTGGTTTCTAAATGTTAGAGGGAGAAAAATTTTTGTGAATTCTGTGTGATTTATAGGACCCATTCCATGTCAGGTTAATCACTCTGTGAAGAACCCTCCAGAGAGCATTAACCATTTGGTTTGATCTTTTGATTAGGAGAGGCTACAGCTTCTTTTCATCACCTAGACACTACTGTCTAATAATCCTTTCATTCTCTAGTGTCTTGCCTAAATCCCTCCTGTTAATGCTTTAAATGCTTCAGGTAATATCCTTGACTTCTATTGTTACAAAAGTAGAGAGTGTAAATTCGTCAGGAAATTTGTATCATCTCCACCCTCTGAAATTCAGAATGGGAGCATTAGTGTGCATATCTATACCTGAACTCTGAAAAAGTTTCATGCCATAACAAGTGATTCAGTTGGATTATTTCCATACTATGTCATTTTAACATAGAATAATTTCATAAGGTAAAGAAAATAAAGATTTTCTTTTTTCTTTCCATTCCTCCTATCACTGTTCTGTTGAATTAGTAAATTTATTTACTTCTAACAGTTGCTGGGATTTTGTGCCTAATTTATATCTCAATTGAGTTGCAGATCATTTTCTTGCTATCATGGTGCAAGTGAGAGTTCTGTTTCTATGTTAACTGAGTAAAGAAGTTCTCTTTGCTGATAGGTTATTTGTTATGGTTTGGATTCTACTGATGATTAGGATAAGGCTTAAGATAAATAAATCTTAAAAAAAAACTGCAAATAATAGATAAGCAATTTAATTGATGAATGTTGTGTTTAGTAAAAATAACAGTAGGGCGAGATTAAATTTGAAGTCCAAGTCTGATTGAATTAACAGGGCTCTAGGTGAGGGCTTGCTAATGAATTAGATATAGAATATGAGGGAAAGAGGAGTCCAGGCTAGGTTTTCAGCCTGAGCAATTGTTTGTGAATTGTGGTACTGTTTAATGAAATGAGGAAGACTGGAGAAGGAGCAGGTTTTGGTGAGAGATAACAGGAATCAAGTTAAATTCAAGATGTGTGTTATATTTTCAAGTGGGACATAGACTTAAGATTTCTTTGTTGGAGACATATAGGTGTCATCAACAAATAGTTGATATTTAAAGCCCTGAGAGCAGATGATATCATTTAGAGAGTAAAAGTTAGATGGAGAAGTTGCCCAAGATCTAATTCCTGATGCATTCCAACATTTAGAGGTTGGAAAGAGGAGGAAGAGGCAACAAAGGAGATTGAGAAGGAGGAACCAGTGATATAAGAAGAAAAGCAGGAGTGAGTATTGTCCCAAAAGTTAAGTGAAGGAAGTGTTTGAAAGAAGGATTGATCAGTTTCAAATGCTACAGAGAGATTGAGTAAGAAAACTGGGAATTGGCCACTGGATCTGATAAAATAGCAGTCCTTGGTGACCTTTGCAACAGCTGTTTTAGTGGAGTAGCGTAGATGAAGACATGGAGGTTGAAGTAGGTTAAAGAGAAAATGGTCCTATGGACATTAAAAAGATAATAAGAGCTTATCTTCTAGAGATAACACACTGAAATATTTATGGATGAAGATGA